AAAATTTTTTTTTTTTTTTTTTTTTTTTTTTTTTTTGAACTATTAAATGTGATGAATTAAAAAAAAATATATATATATAACTACCATAATAAATCTTTATCAGTATAAATGTATAAAAGTCATATATATGCATATATATATCTTATTTTAAAAGAGTAATTAATGCTTTGGCATTTATGTATATGCAAGATAGTGTAGTATATTTAACAAAATACTATAAAAAATTATTAATCAAATAAAAATTTGTACCATAAAATAGGCATACTATTAAAATGTTTCTTAATTAAATATTATAAAAATTATCTTCATTTTTTTTTTTTCTTTATTAATAATAAAAATTAAAAGGCCATTAAAAATTATAATTAACTCATAATATTTTTAGACAGTAATATACTCTTTAATTCTTTATAAATATACATATATATATATACATATATACATATATATATATATATATATATATATATATATATATATATATATATATATATTGTTCTATATATATATTTTATATTTAATATATTTTCTGTATATGATGAGTAACATTTTTTTTCATTTATTTTTTTTTTTTTTTTTTATATTTCTGTTTTTTGTTTTTTTCTTATTTTATTTTTATTCATGTATTAATGCATTAAAATTAATATAATATTTTAACATAATATATATGTAATAATAAATTATATTAAAATACGAATAACATTAATTGTTATTTTATTTTTTTTTTTTTTTTTTTATTCCATAAAATTAATACATATATAAAAATTTATTTTATAAAAAAATTCCAAAAATTTTTTACGATTCAATCGTCACTATAATAATGAATACTCATTTATATTATCTATTTTTTTCTTATATAAAATACATATATGTATGTTATTATTTATTGTATTAAAAATATATATATATATATTTTTTTTTTTTTATAAAAATTTGTATATATATTTATTGATTTTTTCTATCTTTATTCTTTTTTTTTTTTTTTCTTCTTTGCAAAATAGTTCATCGATAAACACTATTAATATATGATCATTGAACATTTAATTAGTTAAAAAGAATACATAAGATTTTTTATTATTTAAAAGATATTATTTTATATTTTTATTAATATATTCATAAAAAAAAATATATATAAATATATATATATATTTATATATATACATATATATATTTATATATATATATATTTATTTATATATATTTATATATATATATATATATTTATATATATATATATAAAATATAAATGAATATTTTTTAAGTAAAATATTAATTATAGACAAATAATGTATAAATATTAAAAAGCATGTTACATTAAAAATTTTTTTTTTTTTTTTATTCTTTTTATCTTAAATTATAAAATTATAAATTAAATAAAATTAAATGTAGAATAATTAAAACAGTTAAGTAAATAAATTTATTACTATCACAAAAATAAATAAAAAATGAAAAAAAAAACTCATTTAAATAACAAAATATGAAAAAAAATTTGAGAACTACTTCAGTTTGTGCCCATGCAATTTTAATATTCAAATTTTTTTTTTTAAGAATATAAAAATGAAAAAATATTAAAATTTAGTTCGCTCTTTTTTTAATGAATATATATATGTATATATATACGTGTATATTATTTTCTTAATTTTTAAAATAAAATAGTTAAAAGTGCAATTATTGAAATGTAACAAAGTAATAGTAATTTCTTAAAAAATCATTCACTTATGTTTTAAATATGAATAAAAGTTCTAAAAATTTAAAAATATAAATATACGCTCTTTTAAATTCTCTCATAAAATAAAAAAAATTAATTAAAAGCTAACTTTAAACAACAGAAAAAATTATAAATATAAATTTTATATTATTTTTTTTCTATTTTTTCACGTACACAGTACATGCAAAATAATAAAAGAAAAAATTAAGAAAAAAGAGGAGAGAAAATAAAACAAAGAAAAAAATTGTCCTATTAGTAAGTATTATTAGTTTTAGATTAGGTAGTTAAAATTATTAAGTTTAACATTATAAAAAAATTTCTCTCTTTATGTTTATCTTCTATATAAATCTTTATATAGGATAAAAAAATAACATTGATGAAGTAAATGATAAGAAAATTTAATTCATTGAAAAATATTTTTATTCAAAAAAAAAAAAAAAAAAAAAATGAAAATGTTCAAAGAAATTCAAAAAAGAGTACATATATATATATATATATATATAAGTAAATTTATATATTTTTTTTCTCATTTTATTAATTTTTTTTTTTTTTTTTAAAAGGAAAATTGTTTGTTAAAAAATTATTGTTGACTTTTTTTTTTAATTATAATAAAAAGACGCATTTTTTATACAGAAAATAGTTCTAAGTACTTATGAATATATAATTTTTTTCTTCTTTATGTTAGAAAATCTTTTCATTATAGATTAAATATAATTATAAAACTTTACTTTCTGTTATAATTTTTAAGTTCAATTTCTCCTTTTTTATTTTTAAATGTGAAATTAATCCTTCAACGTATTTAATGATTTTAAAATAAAGGTGCACATTGTTTTCTTAACTTTTTTTTTTTTTTTTTTTTTTTAGCTTTATACCCGTTAAATGAAAAAAAAGAGCAAATTTAACAAAAATGAAAATAAAAAAAAAAGAAATTTAAAAGTAGATTCTCTCAAAAAATCACCTATATAAGCGTTTATTTTATTTTTTTTTTTTTCTCTCTATTTTTTTATTTAGTTTAATATTTGTTATTTTTTTTATATTACGAAAATTCTTATCTCACAAATTTATGCCTTTTTATTCAATCTTGTCTAAACTCTATCTAATATTTTAATTTTAGATTAACTCGTAAGTTCTATTGTTATAATCTTTTATTTATGACACGTAAGGTAGTATTTATAAAATCTTGAGTTTCTTTTTCTTAAAAATGTTAAACTTATATTTATAAAATTATAAATAATTTTATTACTATATATGTACCTATTCATTCGTTTATTTTTTTTTTTAAGTGAACATGATAGACAATTAACAATAATATTTTTCATTTTTAAATACTTATAATAAATT